CCTACGGCGCGATGATGATAATTCTTTCCTGGGCATTAGGAAGTGAACAATCGGCGTTTGGGCGAGGAATTCTCCTGACGATACTTGTGGGGGTGGCACAACTGTCAGTTATATTCTCTCCCGCCGGGGTAAAGCCCTGGTGGAGAGCCGAGGATGAGCCTGCACACACGAGAGGTTTGGGGGCCAGCGCAGCATTGATGGGTTTGTGTGCTATATTAGCGCTAGTGTTGAGGTCATACTTGACCCGGAGGAACTCCAACAAGGAGAGACACCTTTATGCGCCGGTCAAGGTTGGAAGCGCACTTGATGATGTAGTGGAAGATGAAATTGTTGATAGATATATTATATAGAGATGCGTACGCCAGCATTCAGTAGCTTACAGATAACCGATATCATTGTCTCTATGCCCAAAATGCACGCACCGGAATGGTTTATCGTCGATCATGGTTCTTGACGATAGAGTTCCTACTTCGATGAAAAAGGGGTGGAGCCATCAAATGATATCCATTGATTGCATGAATGATGAGATATAAAGAGTGTGTCTAAGTGCCTAGAAATAATTTTCGTTTCGTTGCACTCTTCATTTGCGGTGATTATTCCCCAGGTGTAGGATTGGAAGTGTTTAGCTTGGTAGAAGAATTGAGTGTTTGGGGGAAAAGTTCGGATGTATCTATGCAACTGCTGTCCACTTCCAAAATTCTCAAGTTAGGATTTCTATGAGCAGGGAGATCTATAGCACCGGCTTTTTACACAATACTCACGGGAATGCTACCAGAACCATGAATTTTTGTTCTAAAAGTAAGGCGATCAAAGTAGGTTGTAATGCCTGTATTCTCGCCAGATGGAAAAAAGGAGAATTAGAGTTTCCATACTATTCGCATGGCTGGCGTACGCTCTGTTAGATTGATTAGCTCCTGGTTTAAACTACCCTGGTCTACTGTAGCTCTCATGCCCTTCGTATGTATAATTCAGCTGTGTCTTTCGTTGAGTAGATAAGCCTTTGCGTTGACAATTCACACTCTGGAATTTTCGGAAGCGGCCTCGACGATAAGCTCCGTAAAACGGTTCGATGTAATAGGTGCTTCCATACTGCTAATCGAGGCCCGAATCTTGGTCTTCAACTCATAAAAATCCCCGGATGCAACCATAAGAATTTACTGCGACAAATAATCGATAGCAATTAGATAGAAGAAGTATTTACTCTCCAATCCAAAGCTAATTCTATCGACGTTTCGCAAGCGTCTACTTACGTAGGCTTTCTACACTTCCAAAGCATCTTTTAAATTGCTTATGACGTTAATAGATCTGAATTGAGGACTAAAGCTAAATCCTCCTGCGGAAGACTTGTTCTACCAGACTGCTATGCTGTCATCTTGCTTCACATCAGTAAGACTCGTGATAGCTTCATAGATATTTTCACCCGTACCAGAAGATGAAAGACGAATATAAAAGTATGAATAGACAGTAGATACGTTAATCACATATGAACTAGTTACAAATTACCACCACGCTGCAGAAGAAGATGGTTATGGGAGCTGGATCCGTGTGAGTTGCGTGAATACTTCAAGGTGCGATGTGGGAATAATTTTGGACGCATTCAGAAACTTGAATTTCGCAAAGGACAAACTTGCTTGTTAGAGGGCTTCCATTATCATCGCAGTACAACCCGCAGCTAGAAACAAAATCTCTCCATTCGACTTGTGGTTTTCAAGCCAGGGGACTTCCTTTTCCCGGAAGGATGTTTGTTTCTCTATAAGAAAACATAAAAAGTTAAAACAAGCTCGTATATCGGTTATTATAGTATTTTCCAGAGCACAGAGGAAGGTCGACGAAATTATAGATAGCACGAGTACATATTTATATAACATCAATAAATGTTTTGATAATTATTGTTAAAAGATCTTCTAATATTGTCGGGATATCGATCATGTGATCTAAGAGGGCACTGTATTGCACTAGCGTATGTACTAGCGTATGCACTAGCGCTAGCACTTCTACTATATTAAATACTAGCTTCCCATAGTTAATAATGATCAAGAACGAATACAACCACAATAGACTAAAGTACTTTACACTTTATCAACCCCAAGTTGATACCAACAAACATAACAAGGATCCTCAAAATCCTGATAATTTAATTGATCAATAAGATCCTTATTAAGCGATGGAGCCTATTTCTGGCACCTTAGGGATACTGGAATCTTAGCACAAAGCACAGGGCCTTTTCGTACATCGAGATGTGTCAAAAGTCGATTTCAGATAAATCATTCAAGCTTCCTCTGACTTTCAAATAGATGTTTCCAGCCCTACCAAGACATCTTCAAACCCAAGTTGTCCACATTTGTTTTATGCTCGGACTACTGTATTCAGGTTTTAGCGGACCCTCTAAAATATGTTTTAGAACAGTACCCCAATTAATGATTGTGTAGGAAGATTCTCCAGCTACTAGTACATACTGTATGGGAAATTGCCAAGAGCTATCTAGTTCTAGCTGTTTTGCATTCTTAACTTCAAGTGATTAGACAAAGGCCATCATCTGTTTTCACATACAGCAAGCCAATCAATGATCCAGCCTTTAATTCTGAAGCTGCGGATATTCACCAAGTGACTTTTAAACAACTGATGTTACCTGGTCAAGCTATGAATACCCAAAACTGCGGCAGTCAAATATCCGACTAAATTTGGCTGGGAGCTGCTTCATCGCCCCACTGAGAGAGAATCACTGTCAGATTAGTAGAAATGTGAAGCAGAAGTGACATGAAAGACTTGCAAGATAGTAAATGCTCTACTACCAAGTAGATAAATGGTTGAGTGGGCAAATTTAGATTCAAATTTTCTCAATCACGGTCCTCAAGCGCAAAAACAGTCATATCCCAGCGGTATCAAGTCTCTCAGTACTTCCAATTGAGAGGACCATGTATCATAGTTCCAAATCTCGACCTTATTCCCTGTTCTCCCCGGGCATAAATGGGCAACCTGTGGATAACACCGCAGCTTCTGACTGCTCAGCCGCATATCCTTCCCCATGTAACAATGTTGTTAGATCGTCCTTGCTCCCTTTAGGCAACTCGGATTTCTTGACATCGCTATTGTTCACTATCTGTCGGAACATCTCTAGGGGATCGTAGAATATCTCTACAGCTTGGAGACGTACTGCTGAGTCGACTTTCGCTATTGCAACGCCTTTGATGTCGACTGTTCCGCCATGCGAGGGAATGGTTACCTTTTCGCCTTTGCTAATTGAGGTCAACGCAGGGCAAGGGAAAGATGTAAAGGTGGGAGGAGATATGAACGTACTCATTAACTCCAACATAATCATTCTTCATAATACCCCAATGTCTCCATTTGAAACTAACGGTTGGTGGCCCACTATATACCTCTAATACCTCCCATGCGAAGGTTGGCATCATCCTTTTAAATGTCTTGTGACTGCTCGAAAAATCTGATTTTTCCGGAGAATAGTATTCGTTCGATGTAAGGATAGCATTATAAGTGCCCACTTTCAACATATATTCACCTGTAACAGGCGCAGAGCCATTGATAGAGAATGTGAAGTTGGGATGATCGATGGTGCGCCAGTCAGAAATGTCAATTTTGAAAGAGGCTTCTACTTCCCAGTTCTTGACGAGGTTTTCGACAAGAGATGGTAGGGACGTAGCCGTGTGACTTTGTGTTTTGGCTGCGAGAAATTAATGAGTGTTTCTCTCTGTAGATGGTGATCTGTGATTTACACACTCTGTGCCCAGACTCTTCTTGTATTTGTATAGTCCGGCGGTTGATTGTATCGCCATTTGGCATCAACGTCCTTCATCACTGCATTAGGGTCCAGAAGATAATCTGGTAGACCAGTTGTGTCTGCAGGTGGTGTTTCTACGTGTGCCGAAGCCATTCTCTCTGCTAGAGCCAGATGGGAGTAAGGAAAAAATAAGAGTCGGTTGACAAACCTATATTGTCTACTGTAAATCAAATCCACTCTTTAGCTTTCAATTGCAGATGGTGGGATATATACTCTCAAACAGTCTTACAGCTACAAACACATTGAAGAATAGCCCGCGAATGAACAGGCAGCATCTCCAAAACTTTTCAAACGGCATGCAAGATCTCAACCGATAGGCTGGCTCATCGTCAATTCTTGCTCCTTGCATGCCGCTGGCATACTACTTCGTGCATCTGTAGGTTCATTAATTCGTTGATCCGTCAAACTGGTCGCTGCAGTGGCTGCACTACTAAATCCAGCTTACTTTTGCGAAAGTATTTACAACATCATTGGCCTGGATAAACGCCTTATATGCTGACTTCGTGTGGCCTTGGCCCGAGAATCGACGGGATCCTTGTTGCTTGGAGACAAAGGTCCCCTCACCCGAAATATATGATGTTTGATAATGGCTGGCATGAAAATCACTCACGGATAATGAAATGAAAAGATTCATGCTGCGACGCGTACACCTGCAAGATCTGGGTGATCGCTTCCAGCCGTGGGCCAAACATACGGTTGCAGAATGCTTGCCAATGGTAACGTAGCACAGCATTGAAGCACGAATAACTATATTCGTCGAGTACACCGATATTTCAGGTCATTGGTAGGACTAATTGTCCAAGAGCAGAGATAGTAAACGAACACACAGCTTATTCCGACCTTCTCAATTGCATAGATCTTAACTTTAGAATGCTTCTGCAGAAGACTTCTAGTATTGAAATGGGTGTGTCTTTTTCTGCGAAGAATTGACTGTGCTGAGAACTTGAGACTTATTCATGTTCGAGATGTCATGGTGACTTTTGGAACAATCTGTGATAAGTACCTACCTACGATATACGAATATGGAACGTCAAAATGGGACTTCCTATCAGATCATGGTTGAAAGTTTTGTGGGGGCGTGGGGAAGTAGTGGCGACACTTTTCACCGCTCGGCAATATATTTACTATTCTTGAAATGATACTCGTACCATCCATCCAATTAATCAATTTCTCTACGATAATCGACTGAAATTTTCTTTCTACAATGGCGAAATCAAAGGCCAAGAGGAAGCAGCAAAATCTGCCCATTGAGCAAAACATTAAGAAAGTAAAGACTACAAGTATTATCACTCCACCGCCGGAGCTTTCAACTGAACCCAAGACTCTTCACGATCTTCTAATCGCCGAGGAAGATATCGAAATATCCGTTGACACCCTCAAAATATTAGCGCAGAATCCTGCTTTGATAAAATCGAAGGCATGTAAGGAATTGCGGACTGCGGTTTTTGACTTTCGAAATGCTTGCACAACAGGCTTCAATGCGTCTAGTATGCTATCTATCCATCCGCGTCACTAATTGCGAGCACTAATTTTGGTGTAGTCGACACAAACCCCACGGCTCGCATCAGCGGTGCTCTTGCAGATGAAGGCTATACCGAAGCTAGAATTTTACTTGCGGAGATGCGAATCCGAGGGCAAAAGCCCAAATTAGGTGCGCTCTGCCGATGGGTTCGAGATTTAGACGTTGTGAGTGGTTTAGCAGAGCAACTTGACGAAACCGCAGCCAAGCGAACGGCGAGAGAGGAGCAATTATTGGTTGTGCTAGATGCGATACTTCGAGTCACAGGCCCAGTGGACTATTCGATCGAGGATGGTATAGACACAAATGGTCCCATTGTACCAAGGAAAGCATGGAACTTGAGGGATGAGTCAATACCACGCAACCAGACCTACAATTCGGTTCTAGACGGTAGCATATTCAATCACTTGCCAAAAGATATCAAGTCTCGATTCCGAGTCATAGAAACAACACCAGGATTGGATCGCAAGCCAGCAAACCTCCATCCGGCGATCCTCTGGGCATCACAGGACAATGCCATTGCCTTTTCTGATACTCCTCCAAAGACAACTCACCATACACATCCAATTGTGCCAAATCTACATCTACTTAAGGATGTTTTGAGTCTAGAAGAATGCATTCGAATCATTGCCGCTGGCGAGACTGTGGGATTTACACCAGATGCCCCAATACGTGAGGAAGGTGAGGAGAACAGTATTTTGGCCCACAACTTTTATTGGGTTGCGGATAATGCTTTCTGCGATGGAGTGTGGAATAGAGTTAAAGAATTTGTTCCAACGCAAGTCAATGGAAAACAGGTAAGAGGTTTGAACAGAAGATTTCGTGTATACCGCTATGTTCCTGGTGCGGAATATCGTGCCCATATCGGTAAGTAGCCCCCTTTCTCATCAGTTCCATCTTACTAATGATACAGATGGTGCTTGGCCCCCTTCCGGAATTGACCCCACGAATGATAAATACATCTATGACTCTTCTCCACCTGAAGCAAAGCAGTCTTCTTTATTCACATTCTTGATATATCTGAACGATGAGTTTGACGCTGGAGAGACGACTTATTTCCTTCCAAGCGCCAAAGAAGGTAGCATGAATGCGTATTCAATAAAGCCGATTCAAGGTAGTGTGGCAATGTTTCCACATGGTGAGACTGAGGGAAGTTTACTTCACGAAGGCACCGGTGTTAAACGAAGCTCGAATGCTTCAGCAAAGTACGTCATTCGAACCGACGTATTATACGATGTCGATAGCAGATGAGAAGATCTATTTGCAGATCAACAAGTATGATACCAAAAAGCTCGGAATATATTAATTCCAAAGAAAAACTTGTCCACGTGCCAAGACCACCCCTCCCAATAAGCTGAGTGTAATTCAAGAGAAACAAGAGTGACAAATAAACCCAGACGTTTTATTGCGTCAAAATGTGGTTGTTGTGTTTCTGTTAGTAAGTACCGAACGGGGATTCGGACCGGGAGTAAAGCGGTGGTTTGTGGGGAATTTATGCTAAAGTCAAATTCTGTACCCCATGGGGCTCACCAGCCAATACAAACCAATTACATACGTTCAACTTCTGAATTTAAAGTGCTTGTTTCTTCGGAGTGCGTTGATAAATGCTTGGTGAAAGGCACATCGGATTTTACACCCACTATCATGTCCACTGTTAGAAGTACAGTGGGCTCTTGGTGTTGTCAGTTCGTCATCGCCATGGATGACTCGAGTCATCTGGTACATGGTGAGACTCGGAAGTTCTCGCCGTATCTCAGGGTGTTTACCAAGGGTTCATTGCCGATTCAAATTACTTTTCCAAATTGCATGACCAGCCGTTATTCCACAGTGACTTCACAACCCTGATCTCACACGTCAAAGCTTGAGTACGAACGTGAGTATATAGTAGTGATAATCATTCCTCAATTCTACCTTCACTGTGCCTTCAGTTTTGTCCTCTCGTGTATGCTGTCTTTTCATAAAGATAAAATGCATTTCTACTCTTTTATTCTTCTAGCATTATCTACACCCATTCATGCCGCAGCAGGTGATGGGGATTGGAATGCCGCATATACCAAAGCTAAAACAGCTTTAGCCAAACTTACAAATGCGAACAAAGTTACGCTAGTTACAGGCGTTGGATGGGAGAAGGGGCCTTGCGTTGGCAATACCGCTGCTATTCCGTCAATTGGATGGCCGGCTTTCTGTTTACAAGATGGTCCTTTGGGGTATGTAATTTTCTGTGGATTTGTGAAAGAATGAAACGGCCACTGAAAAAAGATAATGGTCAATGATGTTAATATTGATGTGAGATAGAGTTCGATATGCTCAGAAAGTAACCGCGTTTCCTGCTGGAATTACAACAGGTAGCACGTGGGATACAGAGTTGATGTATGCGAGGGGTAATGCTTTAGGTATGATGGCATTCATTCTATGACTATCGTGATTGAGACGAAAATGCCGATCGATGAAAGCTCATTGTACATGATAGGGGCCGAAGCCAAAGCACTCGGTGTTCATAATCAGTTAGGTCCTGTGGCCGGACCTTTGGGGAAAATTCCAGTGGTTTGTAGCTCGCTATCTCCTATTCCTTAGTGAATTGTCTGAGAAAATACTGATATTGAACAGGGGGGGAGGAATTGGGAAGGGTTTAGTAATGATCCTTATCTTTCTGGTGTTGCCATGGCGAATGTGAGACTTCATTCCATCACCTTTACCAATTTGTCGAGAGACTAGAACGACATGTATTGACGTTGAACTCATAGACAGTAGAGGGCATGCAAGCAGCAGGTGTCCAAGCATGCGCAAAACATTACCGTAGGTTATTGCACATTCATGGCATTCGCTATCTAACTATGTCTTCTAGTTGGGAATGAACAAGAATTGAATCGAGGAACAATGAGTTCGAATATTGTCGATAGAGTTAATCACGAGGTGCGTGTCCACTTACCATCACAAATTAAGCGTGATACTTACAATGATATAGTTATATCTTTGGCCCTTCGCTGAAGCAGTGAAGGCAAACGTTGCATCAGTAATGTGTTCATACAACAGGTTTAACAGCTCGTACGCTTGTGAAAATCAAGCTTTACTTACGGGATTGTTGAAAAACGAATTAGACTTTCAAGGTTATGTTGTTAGTGGTATGTATCGTATCAGATCAAACTATGCCTAAGATACTATTTTGTTGAGAGGTTCTGACCAGTGTATAGATTGGGCAGCGCAGAAAACTACCACGGGTAGTGCAAATGCAGGAATGGATATGGCGATGCCAGGAGACAATTTTGGCGACAATAATTTCATATGGGGAACTAATCTTCTCAATGCCGTTACTGCGTGAGTTTACCAAATAATACCTTTACCATAATGTATATCCATGTATTTCATCTAACAATTCCGCAGTGGCACAGTTCCCCAAACTCGTCTTGATGACATGGCAACTCGTATTCTAGCCTCCTGGTACTATCTCGGTCAAGATACAAACTATCCCGTTGTAACCGGCTGGAGTTCCTGGAATGGTGGAGTCGGCGGTCCCAATGTTTCTTCAACCCATAATACTGTTGCTCGAGCTGTTGCTCGTGATGGAATTGTTCTTTTAAAGAATACTAATAATGCATTGCCACTTAAGAAACCGGTCAGTTTAGCATTGATTGGTCAAGATGCTATTGTCAATCCAGCAGGCGCGAATGCATGTACAGATAGGGGTTGTGATACGGGGACTTTAGCTATGGTGAGTCATGTGGTTTTCTCTCTTCTGCACATTACTGCTCTTGATTCGAAATAATTGGATCTAATTGTGTTATATAGGGTTGGGGCTCAGGAACAGCGGACTTCCCATATTTAGTTGCACCATATGATGCACTAAAAGTCAAGGCTGCTACAGATGGCACGACCTTAACTCTTTCAAATACAGATTCAACATCAACAGGGGCTTCAGTGGCAAGTGCTGCCGCTACAGCTATTGTTTTTATCAATTCCGATGCAGGCGAGGAATATATAACTGTATGTTTCCAAATTGTATTCAAACCCCGCTCTTACTTATCCTCAAAACAGGTCGAAGGAGCAAAAGGCGACCGCATAAATCTCGATCCCTGGCACTCAGGCAACGCCCTTGTCGCCGCAGTCGCCGCGGTAAACAAAAACACAATCGTAGTAATTCACAGCGTCGGTCCCCTAATCCTCGAAAGTATCCTCGCTCTCCCCAACGTCATCGCAATCGTCTGGGCCGGTCTTCCCGGTCAAGAATCTGGAAATGCGCTCGTGGATATCCTATACGGATCTGTGTCTCCCTCCGGAAAACTCCCTTACACAATCGCCAAGACGCAGGCTGATTATGGCACGGCGATTGCGAGTGGTGATGATAGTTATGCTGAGGGATTGTTTATCGATTACAGACATTTTGATCAGAGTTCCATCGTGCCACGTTATGAATTTGGGTTCGGGCTAAGTTATACTTCGTTTTCATATGCGAATCTCGTTCTCTCGTCTATTTCTACGACTCCTGGAAGTAGCGCTCTTCTGCCGGGAGGAAAAGCAAATCTCTACGACGCCATTGCTACAGTCTCGGTGTCGGTCACAAATAACGGCACGGTTTCCGGTGCGGAAGTAGCACAGCTCTATATTGGATTTCCGAGCTCCGTCCCAAACACACCCCCGAAACAACTCCGCGGGTTCAAGAAAATCAATCTCGCAGCCGGGGTCGCGAATAGCGTTACCTTCTCTCTCCGAAGAAAAGATTTAAGTTACTGGGATACGACGACTCAGTCTTGGATCCTACCAGCCGGAACATTCAACGTGTATGTAGGAAGTAGTAGTCGGGATATTCGACTCACCGGAACCTTTTCGAGTTCTGGCGCTGGTACTAGTACAGCGTTGGGATCTACTTCTACTTTAACTTCGACAAGCACAGGTGCGACGACCTCTCTACCGACTACTTCTCTGACCTCGACGACGACACCTACTCTCACGACGAAAACTAGCTCGAGTAGTGTAGCTAGCACGACGACGTCTTCTGCGGCCGGGGCTCAGCAAACGCTTTATGGACAGTGTGGTGGAACGGGGTATACGGGGCCGACGGTTTGCGCGAGTGGGAGTTGCAAAGCTAGTAATGCTTATTATAGTGAGTGTATTTTATTTACATCTTGAGTCTGAGGATTTGGGAGAGATGGTTTGGGAGTTGGGAACTGATGAGAGATAGGTCAATGTTTACCGTGATGATGTTTGTAACTTTGAGATGGAGGAAGGGAGGAGGGAGGGGAGGAGGGGAGAGAATGGGATGAGGGAGCTTTTGTGTTAGATGTGGAGGTGAGGAGATGGAGTGGCTACCTAGTTAGAAAAATACAATGGGGGCTAAGGTGAAAATGTATATACACACACATGTATAGATATTTATACATTCATACATCCATACATCATAAAGCAACCATAGCGATTCCCCCACCAAGAATCTTCACACACATTAATTTTCTAAAAACCATCTCATCATTTCGTAATTTCATCATTTCATCATTTCATTATATCTTTTCTATCTTTTCTATCCAAGACCTCATTTCTTTCTCTCTCCTCCTCCTACCACAATCCCCAATTCCCAATCCCTAACGCATCATTCCTCTCCTCCAACCATCTCTCGAGTTCCTACCTAATGCTCGTACTTGTATTCACCTTTTCCTTTTCTAATCCATCATCATATCGTAGATTTATAATCCTCTCACATTGGAGTCAGTCCCTCACAGTTTCTCATCTCGAGTACTCGGCTTGGCTCGGCTCAACTCAACTCAATCCAAAAACTTTTGAGCTCCATGTAGTAATATCTCACACTTATGATTTTGATGCTAATTCTAATTCTAATTCTAATTCTAATTCTAATTCTAATTCTAATTCTAATTCTAATTCTAATTCTAATTCTAATTCTAATTCTAATTCTAATTCTAATTCTAATTCTACTTCTACTTCTAATTCTACTTCCGATTCCGATTCTGATTCCGATTCTGATTCTGATTCTGATTCTGATTCTGATTCTGATTCCGATTCTGATTCTGATTCTGATTCTGATTCTGATTCTGATTCTGATTCTGATTCTGATTCTAATCCCTTACCCAAGCCCAATCATCCCAATCCAATCTCTCCTCAACACTCATATTCCTATTCCTCTTCCAACCCATCCCATTCCCCATCCCCATCCCCATCCCTATCCCCATTCCTATTCCTATCCCCATTCCTATTCCTATCCTCATCCCTATCCCCATCCCCATCCCTATCCCCATCCCCATCCC